CGCGGCTCCGGTAGGGGACGCGCGGGGCCTGGCCGGCGCGGCCATGCTGCTGGAGGCACAGGACGCGCTGTACGTGGCGCTGGAGCTGGCCATCGCCGCGCTGTCGGCGGCGGGCAACGTGCTGGTGTGCGCCGCGGTGGGCACGTCGAGCGCGCTGCAGACTCCCACCAACTACTTCCTAGTGTCCCTGGCTGCGGCCGACGTGGCCGTGGGGCTGTTCGCCATCCCCTTTGCCATCACCATCAGCCTGGGCTTCTGCACTGACTTCTACGGCTGTCTCTTCCTCGCTTGCTTCGTGCTGGTGCTCACGCAGAGCTCCATCTTCAGCCTCCTGGCCGTGGCCGTCGACAGATACCTGGCCATCTGCGTCCCGCTCAGGTGAGGCGCCGGCGTCCCCCGACCTCGGAGCCCCGTCGAAGCCTCGAAGCGGGTCACCCTCTTCAGGCCCAGGTTCCGGCCCGCGGGAGACCCCAGACGGGCCAGGCTGGGGGCGCGCGGGGCGCTTGGAGTTCTGGTTCCCAGCCTGGAGGGCGCCGGCCACCTCCAGAAGCACCTGCGCCCGGGCTACCGCGATCCTCTCGGTGCCCGGAGCGGGACCCCGGCGGCCTCTGTCCCCCCACTGTCCCGGATGCGCGCGTCCCTCTAAGGGGATGTGCCTAGGGACAGCCAACCGTAGGGGTTCCGGGGAGTGCGGTCCCCAGGCGCCGTAGAAACCCCGGGGAAAGCGCCACCCCCGCGGGCGGGTGGAGGCCCAGCAGCAGGCGGGCTGGTGATCGCATCTCCACTCCTGCAGAGAAGGCTGTGTCCTCCCGCTCACCCCGAGCCGGCGCGGGTCGGGGTCCAGAGCGCCCGGCAAACGCGGCCGGGGGGGAGCTGGGGGTCCGGGACGCCGGGGAGGTTCCGGCCAAGTGCAAGGCAACTTGGGGCGCTGGGAATTCGCACTGTCAGAATGGACACTACTTAGGACCCAGCTTCAGACTGTGCAGGCTGCAAAATGAAGCGACCCAGCTGATCTGAGGGGAAGGTGCCCGTTAACTTTGGGGAACGCTACAGACATTTGTCCCTGCATGCTTGATGGTGACTCACATCGCCTCCATATACTTTTAAAGAGAGTTACAGTGCTTCCCGGTTCACCTAACACTGGCGAGCACCCGTAGAGCCTCTATGCCATTGTGTAATCCTGTTTATCTCCTGCTTCCCTGTCCCAGCATGCTGAGAAGTGCCACCAGGATTTCAGAAAACTGTGGATAACTTACCTGTCCACTCTCTTGCACACTGGGAAAATGTAGGATTCAGGGGGTGGAGTCAGCCAGCAACTGGCGTAAATCCCACTTGTAGCTGATGAATTAAAACCGTTCAAAGTATTTTTTCTCTGTCTTGGGTGCTTCTAACCCCTTTGGCATTTCTGAAATGAACTTGGGATCTCTAGATTTGGAGCTGTGACAGGGAGAAACTAAGTCACAGAACAGAAAAGAAGGGAAGGAACTAGTTTATTGGATGCCAGCTCTGTGCCAGGCAGTTTACATGAAACGTGGACCTATCAGTCCTGCGGTAATTCCAGAGGATAGGTGCTGTTTATCTGATCTTGTAGATGAAGGGATAGTGGCTTAGGGAGGCTAGAGTCTGCTCAGGGAACTTGAACTCAGAGCTGGCACCGTGTCCCCACCTGTGCCATAAGGCTGTCTTGCAGGACTGTGTTTGGGAAAGAGGAGGATCCTGCCTGCAGCAAACAGGTGGTTGTAGGGGAAATGTGTTTGTGGGAACTGAGCACAAGAGTGCTCCCAGAGCCTACTGAATAGGCGAATGTATTGAGCCTGGTTCCTATGGGCTGGGTTCTGGGTCCCAGCAGGAACAGGAACCTCCTGGTTGGGTGAACTGTGAGCCTGACGTGTGCATTGGACCTTCCATGTGCTGCTGCGCCTGGCTTCCGACCAGGGGGCATCATGCACCCCATCAGGTGTGACAGCCCAGGGATTTCCAAGGCTTGGGGCAGCCCAGTCATCTCTTCTCTTTCTTCTGGGTCCCTTCCCTGCCTCTTGGTTCTCATATTGGTTACATGGTGGCCTCTTGGTTTTTTTGCACCCTGCAGGGCAGTCACAAGCCCGTGCCTGGGTTGCCCATCTAATAGAGAAGCCTCTTAGACTTGCCCCTGGCAGAGACCCAGAGACACCCCAGCTTACTGAGGAGTTACTGGAAGAATCTCCTGGGCCACAGGGAGCAGGAAGTTCTATAAAAGTTTAAATCTGTTAGTTCTTGTCCCGGTTTATGTTGGGTGGGGTCCTGAAAGAAGTGGGTGTGGATATGTTAAGGGGAAAGAGATGTGAATCACAGGGCCCTAACTTCTCTTTTGCATTTGCTAAGGGCTGGAGCGAAGATGTAGGTGCAGGGAGGAGAGAATTCTGAGGGGTTCACCATGATGCTTGTCCCATCCTGCCTTCTGGGCCGGCCACGAGCTCAGGGGTCTGGAAGAAGTGTGCGCAAGGGGCCCGCCCTCTACCCCCTCCCCACCTTGCTTCCTGCCCCCTGCCTCAGGAGGTGCAGGAGGTGTGGGCTTCTGACCTGTCCAGGGCACCAGTCTCCTCCCTGGTGGACTGGAGAGGTGCATCTGGGGCCTCACGTCTTCCCTTAGCCGTTCTGGTCTGGAGCCTGGGGCAGGCCTTCCCTCAACTGCTTCAGCAGTTCCTGCCTCTAGAGAGCATGGCCCCTGTGAGCAGGTTAAAATGCAAATTTCAGAGCCCTGCTGGGCCCTATTGAATCAGAATCTCTGGGGTGGACTGTGTGGGGGAATTCCAGTATCCCTCTCTATTCAGGGACTTCTGGTTCCAGCGAAGTTTGAGAACGCTTATAGAATCAGGGGCCTGAGGCTCACCTCACTTGATTGACACAAGCTGGGTGCCAGGGTGTCCCAAGTGTTGACTTGGTTCTGAGGCCCTCTTTGGGGTCATGGAACTTGAGGTGGGAGTGAAGTCACAAGTGCCCTGTTTGGGAGAAGGTGTCTCCCCTTGGAAGCCAAGCAATAATGAGAGTAAGGTCCAGGCAGTGAGGGCCAAAGGCTTAGGCATGCCTCTTGCCTGGGCAACGGCAGTCCTTGGACTTGCCCCCAGCTTCTCCCAGTTCACTGGCTTTTACCAGGAGGCCTGTGCCCGCAAATGCCACAGCCCCCACCTGCCCCTCAGTTGCCAAGATGTTTACTAACGTGAGAGAGATTACAGTGTAGAAGGAAAAGGGGAGTCCAGAGGTGATGCCAGTCACAAACATGACACCTTTCCTGGCTGGAAAAAGGAATGTCTGTTCACAGCAGGCACTGCCCTTTGTCTTCATGGAGGGGTGTCTACAAACAGAAACAAGCCTGGTTCCTCTGGTCCAGGTCCACAGACAGTTCCTGACGTTGGTCCTGGTGGGGTTCAGTCCCAGGGATGCCACTGGGAAGGCAGTGCAGGTCCCTGGGCCGTGGGGTGGGCGTGTGTAGGACTGCAGCAGGGAGGGTGCAGGTTCTGTCCACAGCTGCTCTGGGCTCTCATTTTACCCTCAGGCAGGAGCACTTCCTCCTCCCTAATTTGATCCTGTTCCCTTCAGGCCACGCTGGGCTCCGTCAGGCAGCTTTCCCTGCTCCATGGACTCAGTTTCCCTGGTGCTGTGGTAGCTGAGTCTCCTGCAGGGCTGAAAGCCAGCTGTTTTCCCAGTGAAGCTGGGAACATCCAGTGGAGGGTGTTTTCCAGGGAGGGTTTGTTTGGCTGGATGGGTCAACAGCGTGGAAGGGGCATGTTTGTCTGACCTGCCCATAGACTCTTCTTTCACTACCTTCCCTGCCCTCTTTGCCACACTGAGGTGTCTTCTGTGCCTCACATATCCAGTCTGTATGGTAGGGATTAAAGACTTCTTAGCAAGACTTTGTGCCTTGGGTGAGAGTGTGGCCTCCACTTAGGGTGAGGAGTTGGCAGGAGATCAGAATGTTTCTTCAAAACTTAAAAATTGAGCTATCATTCCTATACCAAAAAATTCACCTTCAATGTTGTTTTGAAATAACACTAGGAAGGAATATTTTTCAGCTCTAGGTCCTTCCCAAGACTCCCCTCCTTGGGTGCTCCCTTCTTTCTTCTGCATCAGTCTTATCTTTCTCTTCCAGATCACTCCCATTGTAGTGGGTTGAATGATGCTCCTTCAAAAATATGTTCACATGTTAATCCCCAGGACCTGTGAATATTCCCTTACATGGCAAAAAACAAACAAAATGAATACTGCCTTTTGTGGATCTTGAGAGGAGCTTATTTGGATTATCTGGGTGCCCCTAAATGCAGTCGCACCCTTATAAGATGAACACGCAGAGAAGGCTGTGGAGTGGGCAGCAGAGACTGGAGTGAGGCGGCCACAGCTGAGGAATACCGGGCGGCCACCAGAAGCTGGAAGAGGCAGGGAACAGATTCTCCCCTAGAGTCTCTGGGGGGAGCTGGCCCTGCCCACACCTTGATTACACACTTTGGCCTTCCAGACTGTGAGAAATAAATACTTGTTATTTGAAGCCATCAAGTTTGTGGTACCTTACTAGAGCAACCCCAGGAAACCACCTATCAGCATATGAATATATGTAAATCAGCACCCCCCTTCCCTATCCTCTCGCTGCCTGTGCAGGTCTTGGCTCCTGCCTCTCACATGCAGGGCGGGAGCCACCCTGTTACCTCCATCAGGGAGTCCCTGGGGACTGGGTGTTACCTTGCTGTCATTTATCCTGTTATCAGATTATCCTGTCATTTATCCTCTCAACTCCACCTTCACCTGGAGCAGTGACCTTAAAACCCGCAGCAGGTGCCAGTTATAACACTGATGGGACTTTCAGCCTTGCTGGGGCTTGTACCTGGGTGTGCTGGTTCCACTGGAGACACGTGTGCCTGGACAGAGGCTGAGGCCCAGTCTGGTCAGTGAGGCCCTGTCTTGGAACCAGGTCTGACCTGGGGCAATCCAATCCAGAGGGTACCTGAAGGCCCTGTCCCCTCGCCTGGCATAAGTTCACCCAACATGGCTGGACAGTTATCAGTAGCACATGGGAACTGCAGTACTGGGAGGAGGTGGACGTGGACTTGGCACATGCTCTTGGAAATTCCCCCAGAGGGCAGGAGCCTCCTGGGCAGCATGCAACTGCTCTGCGTGCCTGGGGTGACAAACTGCGGTGGCGCAGCACTGCCAGGGAAATAGTGCCTGACTTCATGCTGCAGACCAGCGTCTTCACTGAATTCTGAAAAGCACAGTGGCTGCCTTTGATCATAAGGAGAAGAGCATAACGGAACGAACGTTAACATTTTCATGGTTCAGGTAATCTGGCTCCTTTCTTGATGACCATGTGCAGGGCAGGACCCAATCTCTGTATCTCACTCTGCTCATCT